TGTTGGTCATCTGTATGTCCTCTTTGGAGAAATAGCTATTCAGGTTTTCTGCCCATTTTTAAATTGGACAATTTTATTGTTTTTGTTGCAGAATTGAGTTCTTCATAAGTTTTGGATATAAACCCCTTATCAGATGTATTGTTGGCAAATATCTTCTTCCATTCAGTAAGTTATCTTTTAGTTTTGTTGATGGTTCCTTTGCTGTGCAAAAATGTTTTAGATGATGTGGTACCATTTGTTTATTTTGCCTTTTGTTTCCCTTGCCCAGGGAGATATATTAGGAAAAATATTGCTAAGAGAAGCGTCAGAGTTTCCTGCCTATGTTTTCTTCTAGTAGTTTTATCATTTCAGGTCTTACATTTAAGTCTTTAATCTCTTTTGAGTTTATTCTTGTATATGGTGTAAAAAAGTGGTCTAGTTTCATTTTTTTTGCATATATCTGTTCAGTTTTCCCAACACCGTTTATTGAATAGACTATTTTAACCCCATTATATATTCTTGCCTCCTTTGTCATCAACGAAAATAATTTTATGGTTGGGTCACAAGATGAGGAACTGTATTTAAAGGGCCAGAAGGTTGAGAACCACTGCTGTAGGCCATTAAGGTCCTTCCCCTTACTTGGTCCAAGCATCAGGGACACTCAGGGATCCATGGAGTGGTTGCCCAAGGGGAGTTCCCAACAGTAAGGTGGCTCTAGACGGCTCCCAGAGACCACAGTGCTCACTTCCGGCAACCTGGCCCATCAGCATCCTGACTGTCTCATTCCCACTCACGAAGGAAGAGTTGGCTGCATGAGTCAAACGGATTCTGTCAGTGGGAGGTGCCTTCGCTTTTAAGGAAGTTCTGCTCCTTGCCCCGGTGATCTGCAGACCCAGTGGCCAATTTAGAAAGTACTTTCCTTTGCCCTCTGGTTTTAAAGTGTTTGATGGTAAACTGTAGTTTTTGTTTTTCTGATAATATCCTTCTTTTGCCCTCCGATATGGAAGATTGCTTTGCTAAGTATTCTAGGCTAACAGTTGAGGCTTGTGAGTGTCTGTCTGATAGTTGCCTACAAGAGGGGAGAGAAAGGGCAGGGATTGAGTGTCCTTCTAAAGGACCCTCCAGAGGAAAAATGTCCACCTCTCGTTCCTGGCTTCTCTGGCTTCCTATTTCATGTTCTCTGGAGATGCAGTGGGGGATGCCTGCTGGCCAAGCGAATGGGGTAAACGGTAAGGATTCGGGTAGGACTGGAGGCAGTTACACTCTGTGGAGATCCTGGTTCCACTGGCAGAGAGACCTTGAGTGTCACATAACCTCTCCGAGCCCCACTTCCCTTGTCAGGATATGTCGGTATGAGGTTTATGGGTAGGGTATGTGGACGTGCTTTGAGAACACGAGCTATGCGCTAATTATCCGTTGGGTGTTCTGGGAACGGCACAGCTCCTCCCTGATCAACCTCAGTCAGCCTCAGCCACCCCTAGGTACTCTTTGTGGCTTTTTTTCTTCTTCTTCAATTACTTCTCAGTTTATTTTATTCATTTTAAAAAATGCATCCTCCTCACCCAGGCCGCAATCCCATTCCCCCTCTGACAGCTGTCAGTCTGTTCTTTGTATCCACAAGTCTGTCTCCACTTTCTTTGTTATTTTATTTTGTTCATTAGATTCCATATATAAGTGAAATCATAGGGTATTTGTCTTTCTCTGTATGACTCATTTCAGTTAGTGTAATACCTTTTCGGTCCATCTATGTTGTTGCAAATGGTAAGGTTTTGTTCTTTTGTTATGATTGAGTAATATTTCATATTATATAGGTACCACATCTTCTTTATCCAATTGTCTACTAAGGATCATGAATGTTACTTTTATATCTTGGCTATTGTATATATTGGCTATTGTAAATATTGCTGCAGTGAACATATGAATGAATGCATATATCTTTTTGAATTGGTGTAAAAATTAGTTGGATTTCTTTGGAGAAATACCCAGATGTGGAATTGCTGGCTCATCAGGTACTTCTTTTTTTAATATTTTTAAGGGATCGCGACCCACAGGTTGAGAACCTCTGAGCTACGGGCAGTGGTCAAGTCCACGGCATGTGTGCCAGGCGGAGTGGCACAGAGTTTACCGGGTCAAGGACCCGTGGAGCCAGAGGGATAAAGGGGTATTCATGTGGACACTGCAGTCATCCAAGGGTGACAAGAAGGATGTGCTGAGGCAGATGAATTTACTGCACACCCTGCCAGCCTAAGATTTCCCAGAGACAGAGCCCTGAGGCCTGTCTGGCCCCCTGGCTCCCCAAGAATGTTGCTGTCAGCAGTCCTTTGGTAGCCTCTCCTGCTTGCACATTGGACTTGGGGAGATTAACCAAGTTCGCTGCTAAGGATTGAATGCCAACTGGATTTATCGCAAACGTGTGCAATCTAGAAAGATGGTATAAAACCCCTTCAGGGGGAAAGATGGCAAGTCCTAAAGGAATTCGGATTCATGACTAGCCCTGTTCTCAGCTGAGTGAGAATGGACAGGTGGCACAGTGCGGAGAGGTGCCAGTGCTGGACGGCAGGAACAGAGTCTCAGAGGCTACGGCGGCCTGAGGAATGGCCCCTACCCCCCAGGCATG